ACATGAGCCCTGAATACCGTAAGATCACGTTTATACCGGGGCTCATCGGGGGGTAGAAATGTACCGTTTATAAAAAAAAATGAAGGTTCAATTTTGGGGTCACTCGGCCGGAAAACAACCAACAACAGATTATCCGGATTCAATGAGCAGCTAAGAGGGATCAATACACTCAAATAAGAATAACATTGTTGATAATTCGAGGGATCTCCTTCGGGTCCCTCGTTTTCTCGCTCCCCTCGGCGCGATTACCGGTTTCGCCGGCTGCCGCTCTGCGTAAAAACAACGAATCTACATAGAAAACCCCTTGCAGTTACGTGGTTTTTGCTTAGCGCGACGATCGAGCACGCGCTTTTCACCGCGAATGTCTAAATACTCCACGAACGCGTGTTGTGCAAAAATCGCGGATACAGGTATGGATCTCATTGGAGTTATGCGGTTTTTGCGCGGTGGTCGCAGCCGCCGGGTGGCGATTCTGAATGCGCCCACTGGACTCTAGACCCCTCTGCGTGAATGAGAATGATCCCTGCAGCCCTGCGAGTTTCCGTCTCACTGGAGCGGCAATTTGCGCGTGAATTTTTTGCGAACGGGCCTCTATCGGCCGCATAGAACTGCATTTCTGCGATAATTGCGTGCGAAAAAAAAGGGAAACTATTCGCTTCAATGCTACATTGTAAAATCCACGGGGGTAAGAACGCTGCGCAGGGCAACATTTCGGTCGTGCGAATCGTAGGAGGGTGTCTTATATTCGATGTGCCATTCGATTCATGTAATCGTACTTCAGTTTTTGTAACCGAAGTTTCAAACCGGACCGAAGTGTAAAAATAGCTTGGTATTACAAATTGAAAAGTATAGAAAGAAGCAATGAAACAGTTACCAGAACTGATAATGCAGTTGCTTGTACACAAAACTTATTCCCAAGCTAAAAATATGCGTTGCTGTGTAGATGATGCAACTGCTTTTATAGCTGAAAAATACTTGAAAATTTAACTGGTTTTTAACGAAGCACCTAGAAAAGGTAATTATTGAGCCCATAAATTTCATATATTCATGTTATAAATTATATGTATCTGTCATAGTTCGTTCTACCATTCTACTGAGGCGAGAGTCGTTAAATGAGCCCACAAAAGGTATGATCCGGGTTTGCTCATATGATGTGATACATTTTTGAACTCTCCCATTTGATCACAGTTCGTTCCAAAGCATCACCGGGCTATTTTCAAAAATTTTGCGGTTATCGATAGGAGATCGTCCATACTGAAACAGCCCGCTGTATTCAGATTAGCCTTTAAGTGCGCGAAGCGTTCTCTTGGGGTTGGGCCACGTAGCGAGCCTCCTAGTATCTACTGCAAAGGTTCAAGGTACTAAATTCAGTTGATTCAGATGCGCACAGTATAAAAAAACCGCACACTCTCTACCTAGAAATTGCCAAGCGCTGGTTCTTCATCTTTTTTTGATGGATTCGATCCGTTTCATATCTCCATCACAGCTGGTCGCGAAGGCACTAAATTTAGTCGATCCAATCGATAAGCGGACGGGAACAAGGTCTACACGGTGGCTGTTTGTTGACAGTGGACTTCTGACCGGTACGTGCTGACAAGAGGCTGGATGATTTCGCGGGATGGAAGCCGCGGCGCGGGGCGCGGGGGGCGGGGTGAGGGGGGAGGGGCATCTGCTCCCAGAGCCCCTCCCCCTGCTACGTGCTTGGCGCACATTCGCGCCGGTTGCGGTTCATCACTCGTCCCGACCCATAAACAATCGAGTGAATATGATTTTATGTTACGGTATAAGGGTAAAAACAAAGTATTAATCCTGCAATAAATTTACGGCCAAGCGGAGAGCTCTGCCGCGTTAAGGAAGAACGCCGTATGAACATTCGAGAGTTGCCAAATTTCCTTCGATGAAATGTTCATTTTTGAGAAAAGTCAGGCACGTAGCCAGGGTTTTATTTCGAGGGGGGCTTGATCGGATGAGCAGGGTTCCCACCCCTCCCTCCCCGGCAAATTTTTGACATTTTAATTCTATTTGGACGTACTCTGAAGCTACCGTCAGGCAGATTTTCCATCAATTTCTGCGGAAAAATTATGTATCTTTTTTTACTTTCAGCCTACGATACCTTCAAATTGTTGCAACCAATTCAACAAACCTGGAAAATTTTTGAAATTTTAAATCTATTTCGACGCATTTTGAAAGTTCAAACTTCCTCTTTTCTCGCCTTTTTGTATTTTCTGTCTTCCCTTTTCTTCATTTTTTCCCTACTTTTTTTCTGTCGGAGGGGGCATGAGTCCCCCAAGCCCCTCATCTGTCTACGTACCTGAGAAAAGTTATGAATATTTTTCCTTGAAATTTTCAGGAGCTTTAGCTGAAATTGCGAGCAAAATTATCTTAAATAGAAAGAAAATCTTCATAAGTTTACCGAGAAATTCGTGTTTTATGAAAGGAAATTTGACAACGCCTGGAGGTTCATGCGGCGTTTTTACTCAGGACGGGAGAGCGGTGCACGACACCAAGTTTTCGACGTATCCGACAATTTACTACGAGATGCCTCACAATGAGAGCCTCTGATAGAGCCTTTTCTGGCAAATTCATTTTTGATTCCATCTGCTCGACAACTGGCCTGGCCGCTTATGGACTCGCTGTCCGCGCACGTCGGCTGCATCCCAAGCAGCCGCTGGCGCAACAGAAGCCCTCGGTCCCTCCGTCGCCGTTGCATCGTCACCGTCATCCGCGATTGCTTAAATATCCACCGCTCATGCCCGAGGAATACCTGATTTTTACCGGTTCGCAACTTTTCGGGTGGTACACTCAGTAGGTCAGACGGTAAAACCAGAAAACACGGATGGCGAATGTTTTCGGGTAGTGTTCAAAGACATCTTTCGACAGAACCTTTCCGAAGGAGGCGGCATATGGATTGTAATTGAGGGATGAGGATCAAAGATTTCCCTAACCTAGCATTTTCAGCATTATTTTGCATAATTTTGAGCATAAAAATCATGAGCATCATAGCAAAAATAAGTTTTGCCAACGTTCACTAAAATTTAGCTGTATAAATTTTTAAATCGATCATTGAAAGGGGTTATACTGATTTACCACTCAATAAGATAGTATATGCACAAGAAAATATACTGCGAGCTTTGTAAATTTTAAGTTAGGTTCGTACTTGCCTTGAAGTTTGTCGAAATAATATAATTTTTTCGTCGGTATTTTGTACTTTTTGCAAAGGAAAATGATTTCAATACTTTTCAAGGACCTATTTCGAAGTTATACTGCTGTATTTCATCGCAGGTGTGCGAAAAATTTGAAAATTTTCAACACTTCCCTCCTTCGTGTAAATTCATATAAAAGAATCGATGTACATCAAAATAAGTTGGAATACTTCAGCTTATTCATCATTAATCTAAATGATGTATAAAGACATTGTCGATCGCAGGATTCACCTCTTTCAGCGGGGTCTGCACCACAAATTCAACTCGCCTACTTTTCTACTCCTGCGTTTAAGTCTCCAAGCCATAGCCTAATAACAACGGTCACTTGCGAGCTGATTGTTGAAATTGATAGACAAAGGGGGAAAAAGGATATGGAGGGATCCAATTTGTGGAAGCGAGTGGTTGCAATGGACAAAGGACGTATAGGTAGTAGACAAACTAACGGCAACCCACGAGACCCCTAATAATTAGTCCATCATTTACCCCCTTAGTCCATAAGAACCAACCATTTCAACCAATAGGATCGCTAAATACTCCCTATGTCTTCTTTGTCTATCAATTTCAACAATCAGCCCGCAGCCAATGGAGCGACGAAGATTAACCAAATAGCGATGTTAAATATGGACCTGCGTCACGAACACTTTACGAGGGGATCGAAAAACCCCGAATTTCGCGTGACGTATTTTATGGACGACCCCTTAACACGGCAGAGCTTTGCAGCGGACTGGACTCTCCGTGTCGTGGCCGACCGCGAACGCGCGCGCACGATCAGTCGGACGAGCGGAGGATGGCTTCTTTTTATTCGAGACGAATCGAACAATTAAGTAAGTAATGAATCCTAACACTTGAGCACGGGATCGAGTCCGCGAAGCACTGATTGGTCGAGACGAGTTATTCCGCGAACCAACCGAACCGAGCGCATTGTCGCGTCGAGGCACGAAGTCCGCGATAGCGCTTGTTATTCCGGTTGCGTCCAAATTTTTACAGGCACTCGTAACTACTCGTCTGCGCGGTGAATACCTCGACCCGCAACCGGTGATTCCGGCCTGTGATTGAACTCCTTCACTCACTGCAACTTGATACACTCCTTTCATAGTTCCTTGAACCAATATATTTCCGAGTCTATGCACCGCGTTTAGCGGAAAGGAGCCAAGCCACATCAGCCAATGCCAACTTTGACGGGCAGTTGAATTTTTTACAAGAGATCGTTTGTGCGGATTCCTTTGAAATTTTTGAGGAAATTGTTTCGAACCATGCTGTACATTCACTGAGATTTGCAAAAAGATCTTTACGACTGTTTTTATTTAAAAAATTAAATCGCGCAATTAAATTTGGCAGAAGCAGACGTGGTTTGGTTCCTTTTTGCTTAGCGCGATCAATTTTACGCTTGCTCGCACACATGCGCTACGCATGCTCTGGAAAAAAAGTCTCTCGAATCTAGTGTCCAGACTCTTAAAAAATTTGACAAGAAAATACTTTTGATTCAATCGAATTTTTGCTTGAATCAAAAGGAAATCCGCTTAAATTTAGAATTTTGGCGCTCAAACCAAGCGAAAATCTGATCTAATCAAGAGTATGTTTTCATGTCAAATTTATCGGGAGTATAGACACCAGATTCAAGAGACATCTTTTTCCAGTGACCTTTTACTTCTCCAATGTGTAATTGCTCTGTTTTGGATGAGTAAAGTCGAAGCTACCGTTTTTTGTCTTAAACCTTGCCTATGATTCATATGAACGTTTATTTTTAAAATTGAACCGTAGAGTATTTTCTGATGGAGCTTTTTGTTTGGTTCGCAGGTTATTTCGCCAGCGGCGGTGTTCGCGGTGTCAAGCATCGATCTCGTCCAGCGAGCTGGTCATGCGAGCCAAAGAATACGTCTTCCACATCCATTGTTTCTCCTGCGTCGTTTGCTCAACCCTCCTCACAAAAGGTGCTTATTTCGGAATGCGGGACAGCGCCGTCTTCTGCAGACTCCACTACCAAGAGCTTCCCCCGTGCCCCCCTTGTCCTCCGTGCCCCCCTTGTCCCCCGTCGAACCCTCCTAACTCGACCCCTGAGGACCACTACGACCACTACCCCTCACCTTTCCCCTCTCCCTCCTCCGACTATCACCCTAGGCTCCACAATTTACAATCCTCACCTTTGCCAAATACCCCCTCCGATCCTGTCGGGAAAGTAGAAAGCACGTTTTTTAATGGGGCGCCCACGCCTAGGCAAAAAGGACGGCCTCGGAAAAGAAAACCCAAAGACTTAGAAGCTATGTCAAATTTAGGTGAGTTGCATTTAATTATAAGTATTTTCGTTTGTATTTACCATGTATCAGCGAGTTGAGTGTTGAATTTGATAAACAAAGAAAACGAAGAAAAAATGGACCGATCCTATTGGTTGCAGTGGACAAAGGAGGTAAGGAATTGACTAACTGCCGGCAACCCACGAGATACCTATTGTTAGTCCATCATTTTCTCCCTCAGACTGTATAAACCATACTTTTCAACTTAAAGGATCGCTTCATTTCTCTCCTGTCTTCTTTGTATATCAATCACCTAACAAAATTTTGTTTCCCAACCAAATGACGTATATCTCTATCCTGTGATGAGTGAAGTTTTTCCTCAGAGATTCCCCATATTTATCGCAGGAGTTCTCAATGTCTCTTTTGAAATTTTTCCTCGTGTGGATCGACTTTAGCAAAAAGGAACCAGCGCAATTACAGTGATCTCAAAATCGTGTAATTTCTCCTATCTTCTAAAAATACTGAACACATGTACAGTATTAAAATCTACACAATTACTTTTTTTTAAAATTTAACAATTTTTTGGTGGGAAACCAAAATTATTTGCTATTCTGGGAGATTTGATAGATTATTATGAAGAAGCAACATTTTCACAACACGCAATCGCGCTGGTTCGTTTTTGCCAAATGCGATCCAACAAATATATCAAGAGAGGCTCACAATTTGCTGTTTGGCGGGGCCTGCCGCCTACCCCTTGGAAAATTCCTATTTTCCGAGCATGTTTTTTCGCGAAGAAATGCATGCGGACCACGGGCGAGCACGAGGGAGAGGACAGAGCCTGGAAAACACGCACATTTTCCGAGGGCTAAATATAGGTAGATTCTTATCGTGACAAACACGAGTTTCATTCGAATCTGATTAAGGAGCGATTTAAAAGCCGGGATTAAAGCGGCTGAGCGCGGAGCAATTAATGGAAATTCACACCGTTGCGTAAATGCGGTGAGCGCCCGCCCGACTTCCCTTCGCCCTTCGTCGCGAAAACCGCTAAACACCGACTGACTCCCGCTCCGGGCAGTTCCGCTCCTTGCGTCTTCCTGCAAAACCATTTTCCACCACCAGGGTTAACACATCATCCGCTAAAAACCAGGATATTATCTACGTTACACTAGCGATGAAACTCGTGCCTCGTAATATAGACTGATTCAGTGGATGCACTGGGGGAAAAAAAAAAAAAAAAAAAAAAAAAAAAAAAAAAAAAAAAAAAAATTGGATCTAGGGTCCAGACTATTGAAAACATGGACAAGAAAAAATACTCTTGATTCAATTTGATTTTTGCTTGAATCAAAACGAAATCCGCTTAAATTAAGAGGCTTGGTTCTTGACTTAAGCTAGATTCTGATTGAATCAAGAGTACTTTTTCTTGTCGATGTTTTTAAGAGTCTGGACTCTAGATCCAATAAGTTTTTTTTCCCAGTGTGTGCGTCATTCGATACATTACGATAAAATAACCGAAATCCAATGATTCGTATTCGATACATCAAAAGGTGAAATTTTATCGATATCGATTGCTTCAACGTGTATACATAGCCTCAAAAGTCAATTGAGTAATGGGAACGGGTATTTTGTGATAGATTTTTTATTCTCATGGGTGCAATTTGACCATGAAAAGTGAAATTGTTCACAACGACTACTTGTTTCAGCCTATAGGATCGCCCCATTTGTCCTTTATCATCTATATCGATCGCTTTGCCTCATTCTGTCTTTGTTCGTCTCCGGAAATTTTTCAGACGCGATCACTTGGGCAAATAAATTGACTGTTTTATGAAAAACACTCTGTCCAGATCTTCAGCCCAGCTTTCTTCATTTCGTTGGAAAATTTAAACGTTCGAATTGAGCATTTTTCAAGGAGGGACGTTCAATTCTTTGTGGGAAATCTGAAATTGATGGTAATAGTAAAAAAAGCTAGCATTTTGATTGCAACGTTCAGGTTCCTTTAGCTAGATCTCCACTAGAATCGTTCCAATTGCAAGGCGGATAACGCTGCGCAGATAACGCGATCTGCGCATGCGGTTTGTTGTGCTCAACAAAAAGCGCTTAACTTCAACAAGGACCGTATATGATATCAGCGGTTTTTGTTTAGCACAGTGGCAGTCGCGTCGGATCTAAACCCATGCCCGTCCACACATCACCGTGTGTCTGTAATTAGTATCGTCTTTACCCTGAAAGTAATGTATACACGCAGCTACCGACGCTTCACGGTTGCCAAATTTGCAGTAACACAGTTTAAAAAAGAGGGAAAAGAAAAAAAATCCACTTAATTGGAGTGATAACTCGAAAAATTTTGGATTTATGTCCTCCAATATCACTTCAAACTCTTTGATTTTTCAACTTTTAATTCTTCGCAAAGAAATATTTGGGGATGCATCCGGTCGAAAATAATGCTTTTTTGAGTATTGGTAGATGATAATGATGACTTTTTTGGGGTACCTTTAACACACGGCGAAAAAAACTTCGTGCATGGGACCTGAAGTTGACGTCATATGGATCTCTGAAGTTTTCTGATCACGCATCCGAAAACTTGTGGTCGAGCTGCCGAAGTTCGGGTCAGACATCGAGGCACTTCGGTATGTACCGGAGTACCTCAGACGTGTGACCCGAACCCTTCTGTATATATCGATGTACTTCAGATGTCTGACCCGAACTTCGGGAGCTGGACCTCAAGTTTTTAGATACATGATCCGAAAACTTCAGAGATCCATATGACCTCAACTTCGGGTCCCGCGCACGAAGTTTTTTTCTCCGTGCATATAGGTCCTTCATCGCCGCAAAACGGTTTATAAGGGTTTCAAGCGTCATGAGGGATTTTTCAATCGCATAGTGGCCACGAGGGAGCCCTGAACACTCTAATGCAGTTTATGCAGGGTGCTCCAAAAGTTCTGCACCACCCCTTTAACCCCTAAGGTTCTTTCCCTTTTCGCGGTGATCCCCTGAAAATTGTAGGGGCCCAAAAGTTGTTTTCTTTGACGTAAGAAAGGAAGGGGGGCTCATAAAATTTCAAGGCTCTAACTCAATTTATTTAAAAGTTAAAGGGGCGTGAGACCAAGCAATGGTAGTGGAGGATTTTTGGATCAACCTGTATACAATTAGAGATTTATTCTTAGCGCGCGAAAATCAATCTTAACGTATCGAGAGTCTGGTTACTATTATTTCTTAAAATCGGCAACAGGGTAGATGAGCACACTTCCAAGTAAAACTCGCGGTAAACTTTGCGGAAAAATTGAACCTGTTTTGTATGTAAATTCTGTGTGAATTGACGTAATTTCTTTTGAAGCTGCAGCCTATATGCTCACACGCAAAGCTACTACGATTACACAGCCATAACGTGCTTAATCAATCGAATGCTAACCGAATCATTAGACTTTTCTGTTGACCTTCGCTGTTCCCGAAACCGCCAACCACCTCACATCATTCAATATTAATGAATCCTCAGTTTGAAAATCTCTGTGGGAGAAACAACAATTACGGTCGCTTTGTAATCAATAATTATTGATTTTCCCACCACTCACACTTCCGTAAATTATTCGCTAGTGATGAGATGTTTATCAAGGAAGGAATGTGACCTTCGCAGGCCGCCAGTCAAATATCAGATGGATAGTCATGAATCTTTACTCCGTGGCATAATTTTGTAAATTTTCAATTGTTTTTTTCTTTTTTTGAGTAACTGATTCCCAAAAATTTAAAATTATGATAAAAAAGTTGATACTCTATGTTGTTTATGCAAGCTACAACATAGATCAGTGTCCCCCAGAATCTGAGACCCAAAATTAATTCATGCCATAGAGGGTTTCAGAACCACCCACTTCAATCAATAGGATCGCTCCACACTCCCCATGTCTTCTTTGTCTATAGCTTTGTCTATACATTTCAATGGAGATGTTGAATGTGTGAGGAATTTGCGATTTGACTGTAGACTTTTATGTAAAAGTTCGCGAGAAACACGATGTGGCCACTGGTTTTCTCTGACATTAACTCATAAGCTCAAAAAAAGCTCTCAAAGTGAGGCCAAAATGGAGGGGATATCCCACCCTACCCTGAGAGTCCACCTCTACATCAAAACAAACTCTCCATGCAAATATAGGGAGCAAATACATCAGCAGGGTTGCCGTGTTTTCAATTTTTGAGTCCCCAAATAAAGTGGCAGCCCTGCCAATGTATTTACTCCCTATCTTTGCATGGAGAGTTTGTGTTGATGTAGAGGTGGACTCTCAGGGTATCGTGAGATATCCCCTTCATTTGGGCCTCAACTTGAGAGCTGTTTTTGAGCTTGGGAGTTAATGTCAGAGAAAACCAGTGGCACCATCGTGTTTCTCGCGAACTTTTACACAAGAATCAACAGTCAAATCGCAAATCTCTCACACATGCAACATCTCCATTGTCGGCCTGCAGACGAGGAATCATGGCACTGGGATTTTTGGAGGTCCGCAGGTTCTGAGACGAGGAAAACGACAGAGAGTGGTTTTCGGGGCCCCCGAGAGAAACGAAATTCCAGCAAGTCGGAAGAAAACTCGGCCTGTCCCGAGTATCAATAAAATAAAGCGGACGACTTTGAAAGCTGCGTGTTCGTCGGCCGTTATCAATCGAGACATCTGAATGCTATTGGTATCGGATGAATCTCGAGCCGAAACACGCCGCCGCCGCTCCGATTTCGTTCTCTTTTATTGCAGGCCATTTTATCGACTTTCCTTTTTTTCTCGTTTTCGGTTCGTTTCCTTGCCTAATATCTGTGAATGTTACACGGTGCCATGCGACAAATGCTCAGGATGAATGCCGAAGCTTATGGTCAATAATGCGACGACGGCAGGATTGATGATATGGTTTGGTCATGTCGAGGACAGTGGCGAGGTGTGAATGATTAACTATCGATATTTTCCTATTTGAAGCTGTGGTAAAGAATCGATTACGTAGGTGTTGGATGCGAACACTCTGTTTATAGATCCTTTTCATAGGTTTAAATGGCAGATCAATCGATGCATTGCAAGGCA